CTGAAAGTATAATTCTTTTTTTCATAAATATATTTCATTATTATTATTAACTGGCTCTATAATTCTTTTATTCACAAATAAATCTCATTTTATATTATCATATACTAAGCTCTAAATTTTCATAAGTTCGTTTTAAGTTACTTTCTCTGTTACTTTTTTCTCTCCTCTCTCGCTATTCATAGTATATTTTGACGCTGTTCTTCTTTTTGAAAATATTTAAAAAAATTATTTATTAATCCGATGTTTCTTTCAGCACAGTCGTTAGTTACACTTAGTCCTTGAAAAATTTATCAAAAACGCTATATGATTCAGTTTTCGAAAAGTTGGGATGAGAATGAACCCAATCTTTGACTTGATTTACGAATCCTAGGCGTATAAGTATAAGCCAGCTATCAGCAGTGAAAGCTCTGAAAGCTTACTGTTTGGTAAAATTAAAACAGAATTAGGTTTTTCCATTTTTATTTTTTGACTTTATGCTGCTTATACTGCTGGAGAAAGATATCACGAATCTTTATGAAAACTTTTAATCAAAGAATTTCCAACATCGGCATTAAATTCATCCTTGATAACATATGCTGCGTTGAATGCATTAAAATCATTAAGTACAGCATGTTGAGCGCTTCTAGACTTGTGGTACTATGGAGCATAACAAACAGCAACAATAAAGGCACATGTTTCAATTTCATTTTTATTTTCATCAGGTAAAAAAGTTATGATAGTGGATGTCATTTCTAGTGTAAGAATATACAAAAAATCAGCCATGAATCTTGCTTCGTAACAAACTCCAGGTTGATGAATTTTAAATTTATTAAGCTTATCAGATATGACGCCAAGATAAAAAGCCAAATATTTTACAGAGTGATTATAATTAATTTTTAGAAAAATTTTATTCTATAAGGAATACTTCGCTAATCTTTAGCTGCCTCAAGATGAAAAGCCTGCTACCTATTTCCTACTTGTTCCAATCAAGTTTTTTTAGTTCTGGAGTTCTTGAATTTACAGATTCATGAGAAGTTGCCCAATGTCTTTGGAAAGCTAAGTACATAGACTTGCTTGGACCCTTAGATTTAACTTTTATGATAGCCTGTACTGCATGAGTTATTTGGAGTTCATATATGTTGCGACGACACATAAACCAAAACAAACACTTGTTAAGAATTCTACAAATAATTATTATAGCTCCATTTAGTCTACCTGTATTACTTGATGTAGTATCAGTACAGACTCCAATTATATTATCAGCTATTTCAAAATACTCTACAATGTTTTGAATAACGATAGCGTGATCTTTTCCTTTATTGCTTTCTACAGCTACAATTGCAAGTAGATGATCATCTTTTGTATTAAATTCAGATATTGCAACCCTTTCCTTTTTAACTGTAATTTTTAACTTTTCCTCTATTTTTTTTACCAACTTACTGTCAAAGGGCAAGATCAAATTCTTTTCCAATATTTCTTCATAATAGCTTGATCTGATTGTGGCTCCAAGAATAAAAAGGTTTTTTTTTCTCTTTATAATCATTGTTTTTTATTTTATTATAAATATTTTGAATGTAAAAAAAATTACCTAAATCTTTAATATACTTGAATTTACTTCTAGCTATTGAGCTTCTAGATATATTTAAATTATGAACATTTTCCCCTAAAGCTTTAATAACAGCTCCTAGAAATATTGTTTGTGAGCTAATGCTAATTCTGCATTTAACACTAATAGGTGTTGTAGCTAATAGAAGCTCATCTCAGTTGAACTCTACTGCTAATTCTGAACAGCCAGACTTAGATGTTTTTTGACGCTTTAACTTTGTGTATGTTGGAATCTGATTTTTATTAGTTTCTGAAAAATCGAAATCACTATTACTAGAAACTGAAGACTGGTGAGTCGCAGAACCTATGTAACAAAAAGCGTTAATGGCTCAATGAAATAAATAAAAGTTTTATCTTTTTGTTCATAAAAATATGATTGAGTGAAATAGTGGTTAGAGCGCTTGCTTTGTAAGCAGGAGATTCAGGTTCGAAACGATCTTTGGACATATTTTGCGTCACGGTATGGATAGAGGCGTGAATTTCCTGGTTAAATGCACTTCCGCGGTGCTCTGTGATAAGACTGTTAGGACTTCTTTGGTCACCTAAATAACAAATTAAAAAAATAAAAAATATTTATTATATGTGCAAAGATACTTCTTGGTGAAGCCTTGTGTATTTAAAGGCTTTAGCACGTTTGGCTCAATCTCTGTGTCACAGTAGGCGACTTTGATGTGCATTACTCGTTACAGTTTCTGGAAACAAAATAATTTATGATTTAATAGAAACTCATAAAAAAAAAGACTTCGTGTAAAGTTTTGTGATTTGAGAAATTAACTTTTATGTTAATATCCCAAGAAAAAAAATGTACTAACCTATATTGCAGCAAGTAGATAAATTAGGTGATAACCATTCTGTAAGAAAAAGCATTATAATAAAAGATAATTAAAGCAATAGTAAAAACATTTCAACAAAATATAACTGAACAATAAGATAAATGTACCTTCATATTTAAATCTATTTATATTTTATTAGCT